TTACTACCTTATAGCCATACTATTATGGTACACAGACTCATTTAATTATGTATTATAAATGTTCTTAATTGATTTCTGATCTGATCATAAATAATAAAAAATTAACTGTCATTATCCATTTCTGAAATTTGAACAGATACCAATAATACATGTATTGCTTTTTCTTATGATTCAATAACACTGTACTTTAATTTAACACATGTGAAAGGCAGTGGTTAATAGCAATTAATGATTTTGCATCAAGTTATTGTTATTGTGTGAAATCTCTGTGACTTTACAGTATATAACTTCAAATGACAAATATTAGCCTTGCACAGAAATCCTGTATATAAAAAAATTTATACATTGTTAAATTCCAGGAAGTTTTGTTATCAATAAATTAAAATCAAAACTCTTTGACAGATTAAATGAGCTTTGACAGAAGTATCTTAACCAATTCGAATAAAAAAATAAAAAATCATTTCACTTTTGCATCAGTGTTTTGATTTGAGTCCAAATTAAATAACTGTTGGTTGTTGTAACTGTAAGAAAATTTATGGAGTCAACACCTTCCTCATGGACGTTTCCTGTTATCGGTACTTAAATGGAACATTGACAGAAGGGTTATCTACCCATGTTTTGAATGAAACTAGCCTCCCAGTGTTTGTGATAAAACCATCATACATAATATTCTGTCAATCAAAATAATTGTGGAAAAATCCTTGGGAGTCCAGACTAAGGACAATGCACCTTTTGTGCAACATAAATGTGCGTTCTGTTAGCTGAGCATGTATATCAAGCATGTGTGCTTAAAGGAGCACTTCCAGTTAAGCCTAATCGCACAACAAATTTACTTTCTGGATTAAAATTACAATGTATAACAAAAGATAAATAGTGTAAAAGCTGAGATTTTGGCGAATAAAAATAAAAAACACGAACCGGGGAAAGGGATGCGCTACTAATCTTGAATAATTAACTACTGTCAATCAAAGTCACGTTATGTTGTACCGCTGAAACAGGATGCGTCATAAGCTATGCAAGTGATTAACAACACTCATTAGCATAGCCACACCTCCAATTCACACTTACCAGGGGCAAGTGAATTGGGCCTTTAAGTTTGTATGGGTAGGCAGGGAGTATACACTGACAACTTCATGATCAGATTAGTTAGTCCAACTGGCAACTTGCAACTCACTGTGGTATAATATACTAGTTTTTAGTGTGTTCCACTGGTTGCCATGTTACTGAACACGATGGCAGAAAGGGGGGTTGATTTTACAACCCGTCATCTGTGATCATCAGTTATTTGCAAGTTGAATATATACAAGTAAACCCCTCACCCCAACTCAAGAAATATTTTACATGGGTACAAATGGATATGTTCATATTTTTTTAATGTATGAAAGTAATGTATTAATGTACCTTAGGAAAAGTTTCAAGGTGATGTTCGAGGTCAAAATGCACGCTGCCAATTTTGAAGCAGGTATAAGTAAAACTGTATTTCAGCTGACTGGAAGTGATTCCATGTCAACCCCCCCCCCCCTTTGCGTACATAGTAGGGAACCCAAAACTCTACTGTTATGGCGTGAATACCAAATATTCAGTGATTCTGTACATGAAAACACTGTCAACTTGCTTCCAAGTCACTGAAAACTGAAACTATCCCCATTCTGCAAATTATATACCTATTCATTGGTAAAGCAGGAAAATGTAATTCCCTTCTGTGTAACCCTAATTTCCTATCTTGCATTTCAATTCCAAAGGATAGTAAGGTACGTTGTGGGAACATGCATACTTGCTCATTAAAGTTGTGGCACAGTTGCCGGGGTTCAACCTCTGTGTACCAAACTTGAGTCAAGCATCTGACCTTTACACGTAAATGCCTGTCGCTTTTTTCCCTAGAATATTGCTCCATAACCTCCCATTTTTAAGTCCACTGTTCCATTGTAACCATGGTACATAGAATTTTAAATGCAATGATGTAAAAGAATGGAACACTACTTAAGGGCAAGTCATGTGACATTTGTGCACTTGACCAGATTATGACAGTCAATGGGTTCGAAGGTCTATTGTTGATGGCAGCCATATTGGTAATTAATATGCAAGAACACAATGACAGCAGCCAATGGCTTTTAAGGTCTATTGTTGATGGCAGCCATATTGGTAATTAATATGCAAGAACACAGTGTCATTTGATATCTAGAAAGGCACACTAAAACGGTATTTTTATAACGACAAGTCATTTTTTATTCCACATTTTAGGTAAAGTATTCTCCCAAAACTTGTATTTACAGTGAAGAAAAAAAAACCTATACATGTATCTAGTTTTTGAACTACAGATATGGTCATAATTTATAGTACTACTCGTAGTGTTGCACACATCAACTATTTAGTCCCAATACTTTAAAACAAACTTTCTTCAGTTAATAAAAATTAAATGAACAAAAATGTACATAAAAACATATTTATCGAGGTGAATTTTGAAGAGCTATAATTATAATAGTATACACTGCAGGGAAATTCTCCTTAATATTGACATCCCATTGTATGGTACAGGTAGGTAAATATTCCAACTCCACCATCCATCAGTAATTTCCACTCCTATTTCATTGTACGCATCATCTGTGTTGCATTTGTCACAATACGACAATCCACACAATTATTTAGCACCGACATGTTTTTTCCTCAAAAAGACAGTACCAATAAAATAATAAGTTGTGTAATGTCTTGTGAATAACATTGTAAAATACATCTTTTCCTTCATGAAACTGGTAGATCATGTCTTTTTCCTGGATATCAGTTCATTTTGCATCTTGCAATCAGCTGCTTTTGGTCCTTTTCTGGTACTTATTTTAATGCCATCTTTTGCAGGACCTGGGGTAATATAAAGTCTGGTTTTAGTTTCTGATAAATATTTGTACATTTGCTTTTATGTACTACATTCACCACCATGAAAGACGACTTTTACTATATTTACAAAATACAAATGTATTAATATGAACCCACCTGTTCATAAACAGTCCATACCATAGCAGCCATAAGTGTCCTTCTCAGACATCTTGGTAACATACCACGTAAAAGGCCTTTTGCACCATGAACCTATATACATCAAAAACAGCATGGTCAAAAAAAAACATAGAAAATGTACTAAACTGCACAAGTAGTAAGCATAACATGGTCAGACTTATCCGAGAAAACTAAGATCAATCTCATCCAATTTAAAGGGGAAGAAAATACAGGGATTTTACTGCTTGTACAGCAATATGTATGTATCCTGAGACAGTACCTTGAAGAATTTGACTTGTAAATATTATTGGGTTGAAACTGTGCAGGCAAAACTATATATTTTGGCATGCAACCATTTATGAGGCTTTCTCAGTTTGGACTGTGAGGGAGTGACGTGTTTAAGTTTTAAACAATTTAAATGACGTAGAGAGTTCTTATAACCATTCTATGGCAGCATGCAGATATCGCGTATACAAACTGAGTTATACTGTAAAAACAATGTTTTCAACATTGAAAATAATTTCCATATGCAGAGAATGGTTTTAACAGGGATACAGGTGATTTATTCCAGGAATTCAGAATTAGCAATTAGTAGATTAAGCAAAATCGCTACCTATATTATGGCTAGGGGGATGGGGGCAATTGTGTATGTGAAAATTGAATACATCTGTTATTTTTTAAAATCTGACCTAACATATCAATGCAATCTGACTGTATAAACAGGTCTACAGCTAATTTGAACATGACCTTTAATTTATCCACTGACCTGGGATATCAGACAAGTATGTTTGATACAACAATACTATCTGGCAAAGTTATAAATTTGTTTGTCTATATTAACATTTAATGTTTTCCCCTAACTTATTTGTTGTCTGATAGGTACATATTAACATTATGCGATTGTTTCACTGGCATAACTGCTTTGGGATTTTTGTTTACATTTGTTTGCCTCAATAAAAAATAATCACTACCATATTTGCTTTATTAGAAGCATATCTCTGAGGACAAAGATTTTAAAAATAGCATTTACTGTACGCTGGGTCATATGACCTATTTAATAGACCACATTTCATTTTAAGTAAGCGCATACACATTTTTTTGTATATACTGGTACATACCGTACTTAGTGCAAATGCTCAACTAAACACTCCCTCTTGGGACATTTTTATTTTTGGGTCATCCATCCCCTACAAAATTCTCCAAATTTGACTGTCTACTCATAAAACTTAGTCTTTAATCATTGAACTCATAATTATTGGTAATCAAATTGAGATAAACAGTATGAAAATGTTGTGAATGCGTAGACCGCGGTAACTGTACGTAAACTATGCTTCGAAGATGACCTGTTTAAAACCATCCATATTTAGTTTACCTTTCAAAAATTGCTAATTACCCGTTGTTTTTTTTAAATCATGCTGTTTCTTCAACAAAATCAATTCCAACAGATCATTTTTCGACATTGATTTCACTTTCGCATTGCTTCTGGAATTTGATTGGTTAATAATCTTGGTCAAATCATGAAAAAAATGATGATAATGATGAAGAAATTGACCTTCACTGTGTTCCAATTTTAATATTGTCAATTCTGAATCCTAAATACAGTCTGCAAATCAACTTTATTATTCATGTTCCAAAAAATTAATTTGCAGACAAAAATAAAGTATACAATATATAGTACAAACATATTTCAGTTTGATAGCTTGTGTGTCTACACAGATATGTTTTATAGTTTAGGGCTCAGAAAGAAAAGCCCAACTCAACTATCGTAACTTTTTGTCTCGCTCACCTTAATTACAGACAGCGTGGCATGAACAACACTTCTGTATTTATCTGGATAAAGTTGCATGTGAGTTTTGATCACATCAAATGGCTGGGTAACAGCAGATGCTAAAATACCAGCAAACACACCGCACCCAAAATGAACTATTGGAATTGCACTGTTGGGAACATTATCTGTTCAAAGAAAAAAATAACATTTACAGCATAGTGATTATTTGAATCTGACTGTAAGCAGAAAAAAAATTAAATTATCAGTTCATGCACATAATACATTATTATTATGTGTGTAACATTCAAATAATATGCACAAATTAACAACAGGTGAAGTGTACATGAGAGAAAGAATGATATCCAAAAATGCCATAGTACAATCTCAAGGCAACCTTAAATTCACTACCCAGGAAGCTCAACATGGAATGCAGTAAGGGGAGGAGAGAGGAAGTTTTAATAATACAGATTTAAATCTTTTATTTCTTTTGTTTCAAGCCTTATCGTCATTGTCATTTTTTTTTCAATTCATTATCGCTTTCGCTTATTTACTTAACAAACCAGGTTTGACTCCTGATTTTTAGCTCTGAAAAAACGATCATGGAAGAAGAGAGAATAATAACGTCCCATTTCCTTCCCTACTACATGTACCTTTCATGGTACCACCAATTCAATTTTGTGTAATCATCATAGACTCAATATAGGGGTAAATCAATGTGGGCGACAGATTGCAATGATGGTAGTGCTTATAATATTATAAGTCGTTATAATTAGACTTTAAATGATAAATAAAATTAAATCATATTAAAGAATAGTGCCACAAAATTGAGCCAGGAAACATGATGGCTTCAAAAACAGAAACAACTGTTTAGTTGGACACCTGATAATGAAAATATGCAACCATATGTTCGTACATCTTACCTGTGGGGATAACTTTTTTGGTTTGTGTATAAAACATGAGGTAAAGTCCAGAAAATGGCACATCTCGAAGCAATGTGGCAGTAGCTCCACAGTAAAGACCTGCAATTAAAACAATAATCATTTTTATTCACTGTATTGTTTTGAATTGAATTGTATGCTATACTTTGTATTATATGATAAAATTATGTAAATTTTAATGAGGCAATGTGGATAATTAGGATTTTTGATATTGTAAATTGTTTTGATTTTATCATGAATTAAAACATTTTTTTGAGGCAAATTGCACTTGTACTCCGGTTTGAACTTTATATACAGTAAATTCAAACCACACTGCGCCTCTAGTGATTCCACTCATTGAAATGCATACTGTGAATATTGCTACATTTACTGCAAAAACACCTTTTTTTGTTATTTTTGGATAAATCACACTATTGTTTTTATCCACATCGTCTCTTTAAATATTTGGTGTAACTTCAACTACAGCAAATCATTGATGTGTTTTAGATTCAAGGATAAACCTGGCTGCTCTACCAATCAACAACTAGAGTAACCTTGTGGTGAAACAGATGCATGAACAAATAAATGATTACCGATCATTATACGATTATTTACTCTACTAGAAGCACATCTTCTATATAGATCAAAAATTGCATTTATCGTACACTGGCAAGGTTTGAACTTTAGAGGAATAACAAATGGAATATTGAGAGGCAACGAAGCAAACTCATGGGGCATCAAAGCAATTGCCTTCAATGCCTCTGTTTTAGCCAGTTCAAGCCCTGCAATGGATTATAACAAATATACTTAGTTTGACCATAGACACACCTCCGCCATTTACGTAAGCGTAGGTACTACTAATAGAGCAAATCAGGTAACCTTGTTATCTTCAGTACAAACGACAGACAACAAAGTATTGATGCAAAAATTAAATGGAAATACAGATATGAAAGTTTGTTTTTTTTCCTAGATTCCCTCAATATGAGAAGATAAAAACAAATGTTACAATGGATATATATATATAAATACATGCACAGTGTTAAGGGGTTGGTGACTATTCATAACACTAGACAATATAAATCTACAAACAACTGAGTGAGATCATAAAACCACGTAAAATTCACTTGCGTTTAATTTCGCTATTTTGAGCATACATGTACATGTATTCACTGGGTTTTTTAAGTTTGCCAATTTGCCAGTGAAACAGCGAGTTCTATTGTTATTTTAAATGTTCACATGGATTTACTTTTAGC